TTGCCACACAGTACTTTGATTTATTTCGTTACATCATCCTAGCATAGACTTATTCCCTGCATAAGTGATTATTGTTTTCAAAAGGCTTTCAGCTCTATCATAAAAACTAAAACCTGACCCCATCCTTCACCCTCACCCTAACCGGTCTGCCATAACGCAGTGCCCCCCTCTATACTTTAACGAATAGATGCATGCGTGTAGGCCAAGCCTTGGCTGAGCTCTAGTCAGTAATTATTCAGTCTATATAGTGATACATTTCAATCTATTATCAAAAGCTAAACTTATATAGTAATCTATATACTATATAAGATGGATGTTTATCAAATCCAATGTTAATGATATTTATTTCATCCCTACAACAAGCCGTTGAGATGAGGGTGAGGATTTGGGTTAAGGCTTATGCTATATTAGAGCAATGTCAATATAATCAGTAAGATACAATACAATGCTAGTGAATGTGAATGATATTTATTGGGGACTATCCCATGCATACAACAGGGATGAGGGATTGCATTTAGCATCTCAAACTAATTTGAGGTCATAATAGTAATATTAATAAAAATAATAATAATAAACAAATTCTTCCATTAGTTTTCTGTCATCATTCAGTGTCTACAGTACTATCTATGAGATGTAAGATAAAAATACCATGTGAAGGAATGCAAATGATCTTTTTTTCATTCCTACAACAACCGGTTAGGGTGAGGGTGAGGATTAGGGTTGGCTTATGCTATATTACATCAATGTCAATATAAGATCCAATACAATACCATGTGACTGAACGACYATTCCATACAACAGGGGTTAGCGTGAGGGTGAGGGATTGGATTTGGCATCTCCAACTTATTTGATTGTATAACAATAACAACAACAACAACAACAATATTCATAATAATAATAATAATAATATTCATAATAATAATAATAATGATAATAATAATAAACAATGTCTTCCATTGCTATTCAGTCATGATCCAGTGTGTAGAGTACTATCTATATGAGATATGAGATCAATGTGAATCTAAAATAAAATACAACATGTATATACAACAATAGTGGTTATAGGTTATAGGTTATGCTATATCAATCTCAATAACACAATATACCATGTGAATGAATGTCAATGATTTTTTTCATCAATAATACAGCAAGGGTTAGGGTTAGGGTGAGAGTTTGGGTACGCTTATGCCTTATCAATGTCAATAACACAATATACAATGTGAATGAATGCCAATGAAATTTATTTCATCCCTACATCAAGGGTTAGGGTTAGGGTGAGGGTTTGGGTAGGCTTATGCTATTAATGATAAAAACAGCTATAAATGACAAACATATAATATGAAATAAAATACAATAGGAATGCAATATGCCCAATGCTATCTATTTGGGACTACCAGCATAGCACTTCATCAATACCAAACAAAGTCTTTCATTAGTTTTCTGTCATCATTCAGTGTGTAGAGTACTATCTATGAGATATAACATCAATGTGAATCTAAAATACAATACAATGTGTATGAATGTCAATGATTTTTTTCATCAATAATACAACAAGGGTTAGGGTTAGGGTTATGCTATAAGAATAATATAAACATATATAACAATATAAGATAATATATGAAATGATATACAATATGAATGCATAATACTTTATCATCATCAACCACCACAAGGACATGCCTATTTTCTACGAACAGCATTTCAATAAATATCAGTACAGGCATGCCCTACCCTATAACCCTGAACGTAATGATGCCCTAGGAAGCACCATGAACGATGGTTAGGGTTAGGGTGAGGGTGAGGGATTGGTTACAGTATGATTTTTAGACGTTATCTAGGACAGGGGAAAGCGGTAAGCCGGTACTTTTATTTCGGTTTAATCATCAAGCCTATGCTCTGTACAACAGCTAGCAGCGGTTTGAGGGTTAGGGTGTTGGATATTCGCTGTTATACAGAAGTTATCTAAAACAAGGGAAAGCGGTACATCTACTTCATCATAAAGCTTACCCTAAACCCTACCCTAAATCTAACCCTTCGTACCAGTTTCATTACAAGTGGTTGAACATTCGCTGATATATAGTAGTTGCCTAGAACTGGGGAAAGCGGTAATCCGGTACTTCTATTCAGGTACTTATACTCCATCATCATAAAGCTTATACTATGTACAACATCTCGTAGCATTTTGACTGAAAGTGTTTGAACATTCGCTGATATATAGTGGTTATCTAAAACAGGGGAAAGCGGTAATCCAATATTTCTATACAGTTATTTATGCTTCATCATCAAGCCTTTACTCTGTACAACACCTCGCAGCGGTTTCACTGAAGGTCGTTGAATAGCTATTGATTTACAGACGTTATCTAAAACAGGGGAAAGCGGTAAAGGGATAGTTCTATTGACTAAGTCATAGCACATCATCGAGCCCATACTCTGGACAACACATCGCAGTGGTTTGAGTGCAGGGTGTTGAATATTGAATGAGATATAGCAGATATCTAAAACAGGAGAAAGCGGTAAAGGATTACTTCTACTTTGTTATCTGTACTTAATCATCTAGCCTGTACTATGTACAACATCTCGTAGCATTTTGACTGAAATTGGTTGGATATTCGCTGATATATAGTAGTTATCTAGAACTGGGGAAAGCGGTAAAAGAATACTTCTACTTAAATATCTATACTTTATCATCAAGCTTCTACTCTGGACAACACCTCGGAGCCATTTGAGTGCAGAGTCTTGGATATTACAAGAGATATAGCAGTTACCTATAACTGGGGAAAGCGGTAATCCGATACTTCTATTTAGTACCTTATAGCTCATCCTAAACCCTACGTTATCTAGAAGAGGGGAAAGCGGTAATCCGATACTTCTATCTAGTATCTTACAGGTCATCCTAAACTTGGCCCTAAGCAGTCCAGTGTGATCAATCAAAACTGTTATTACTATAACATATATGTCACCCCATACCTTCATTGACGGAAATTGACATAATATACCGCACATTCAATACAAGGAATCAAACGGTCATGCGTTCGCTTCGTCTGGAAACTCTCTACGAAATGGTGGAATCCTCGAGAGTATAGTCCTTCGACCCTCCCCATTATATTTGATGGTTGTCGAATATCATTGATCAGTATCCCCTTACCGCTTTCCCCTGTTTTGGATGACTGTCCAATATCATTCATCCGTAACAGTATCCCGTTACCGCTTTCCCCTGTTTTGGATGACTGTCAAATATTATTGAATATCCAAAGGCTTTCAGTGAAACTGCTACTAGGCGATGTCCAGAGTACAGGCTTAATGATAAAGCCTAAATAAATAGACAAAAGTATCACCTTACCGCTTTCCCTTGTTATAGATAACGTCTATATATGGCATTGAATACTCGAAAAGTTTCACTCCAACTGTATGAGATGTTGTTTAGAGTACAGGCTGTACGACAAACTATGAATAAATCAATCACAGTATCACCTTACCGCTTTCCCATGTTTTGAATAACGTCTCTAATTCATCTATTATTCAACGACTGCTGCTGAAACTGCTACGAGATGTTGTTTACAGGATTAGCGATGAACTACAAATAACTCGATAAAAGTAACACCTTACCGCTTTCCCCTGTTATAGATATAGTCTATCTCTAGCATTGAATACTCGAAACGTTTCACTGCAACTGCTGTAAGATGTTGTTAAGAGTACAGGCTTTATGATAAAGCGTGCATAAATCAATAAAGGTATCATCTTATACCGCTTTCCCCTGTTTAAGATAAAGTCTATCTGTAGCATTGAATACTCGAGAACTTTCACTCCAACTGCTATGAGATGTTGTTTAGAGTACAGGCTTTGCTATGAACTACAAATAACTCGATAAAAGTATCACGTTACCGCTTTCCCCAGTTTTGAATAACGTCTCTATATAGCATTGAATACTCGAAAACTTTCACTCCAACTGCTAAGAGATGTCGTTTAGAGTAGAGGCTACATGATTAAGCCTGAATAAAGCAATAAAAGTATCTCCTTACCGCTTTCCCCAGTTTTGAATAACGTCCGTAATACATTTATTTTTCACACGACTGTCGATCATACTGCTACGTAGAAGTGTCCAGAGCACAAGCTGTATGATGAGCTATGAATAAAGCAATAAAAGTTTCACGTTACCGCTTTCCCCTGTTTTGAATAACGTCTCTAATTCATTTATTATTCAACGACCGTCGTTCAAACTTATACGTAGTAGTGTCCAGAGTACAGGCTTTATCACAAAGCCTTTATAAATCAATAACAGTATCACCCTACCGCTTTCCCCTGTTTTGAATAACGCCTCTAATTCATTTATTATTCAACGACGGTCGCTCAAACTTCTACGTAGTAGTTGATTAGAGCACACGGTTTTATGATAACCTATGAATAACTCAATAAAAATGCCATGAACTTAAAATAACTAGATAAAAGTAAAGGCTTACCTCATTCCCCTGTTATAGATATAGTCTATATCTAGCATTGAATACTCGAAAACCTTCATTCCAACTGCTATGAGATGTGGTTTAGAGTACAGGCTTTATGATAAACTATGAAAAAATCAATAAAAGCACTAACCCTAACCGCTTTCCCCTGTTCTTGATAACGTCAACGGCTTGCAATCCAACTGAAAAGAGGTCATGTCCAGAGTATACGTACGCTTTATTACGAACTGGGTCGGTGTCCAATGGTAGAACGAGGCTTGGGATTGGATTAAATAAGGAAAACAAAAAAAGCATGAATTATGGTGAACAATGCGTATTGTTCTACATGTGAGCTGCGTTCTTTGTTTCATCTCACCCTTCATTGTTTGTTCATCCACTCCCAGGCTTCCCCAATAATAGATAACGTCTATATTTCGGTGATTAACACACGTCTTGCAATGAAACAGCTTTCCCCCTTCTAGCACATCGTCAACACTCAACAACCCAAGTTAGGGTTTAAACAAGTGAAAAAAACACCCTAAAGTCATACCCTAAACCTATCCCTTTTAGGGTTTTGGAAAATTCAACAACCTCACTTAGGGTTGTAAAAAGTACTAAAAAGACCCTAAAGTCATACCCTCACCCTAACCCTTTTAGTGTTTATGGAAATTCAACATCCTCAGTTAGGGATGTAAGAAGTGCAAAAAAGACCCTAAAGTCATACCCTAAACATATCCCTTTTAGGTTTTATGGAAATTCAACAACCTTAGTTAGGGATGTAAGAAGTGCAAAAAAGACCCTAAACTCATACCCTAAACATATCCCTTTTAGGGTTTATGGAAATTCAACAACCTCACTTAGGGTTGTAAAAAGTGCAAAAAAAACCCTAAAGTCATACCCTCACCCAAACCCTTTTAGGGTTTTAGAGAATTCAAGAACCTCACTTAGGGTTGTAAAAAGTGC